GAGTGTTTAATTAAAGGTGATTTGCTTATATAATTAGAATTTATAAGGGCTTTTGGAATTCTAGGGGTCATCATTAGCATCAGCATCCGCATCTGTGGGTTTGAGTCATTTCTGTGCTATTTATTACCAGGGCAGGCTATACCTCAGTCTGTTTACCTGTATGGACTTCAGTTTCTTCATCTGTAAAATGAAGAAGTTCAATTATTTGATGTCTACAATTCCTGCCAGCTCTTATATTTTATGTTCATGTTCACCTCAGATCTCACCGTTTCCTCCTTAAGCCTTTGTTCTTGTGAAAATAACTTTGATAAATTACATATGATGTCCTAATATCAAGCAAGTGACAAGAATTTTTTGTCAATTAATTTCATTTCTTTTTAAATTTTTTTTTTAGCCTTGCCCAAGCCTCCTGGAACTCCTGTAGTGACAGAGAGTACAGCAACAAGCATTACTTTGACGTGGGACTCAGGGAATCCTGAGCCAGTTTCTTACTATATTATTCAGCACAAACCTAAAAATTCTGAGGAGGCTTATAAAGAAATTGATGGAGTGGCGACAACACGCTACAGTGTTGCTGGCCTAAGCCCCTACTCTGATTATGAATTCCGGGTGGTCGCTGTCAACAACATCGGGCGAGGTCCGCCCAGCGAGCCCGTCTTAACTCAGACCTCAGAGCAAGCACCTTCCAGTGCCCCTCGGGATGTACAGGCTCGAATGTTGAGTTCAACCACCATTTTGGTTCAGTGGAAAGAACCTGAAGAACCCAATGGGCAGATCCAAGGTTATAGGGTTTATTACACCATGGACCCTTCTCAGCATGTCAACAACTGGATGAAGCACAATGTTGCTGACAGCCAGATCACTACTATTGGGAACTTAGTGCCACAGAAAACTTACTCCGTGAAGGTCTTGGCTTTTACCTCAATTGGAGATGGTCCACTTTCAAGTGATATTCAAGTGATCACTCAGACAGGAGGTAAGCTGGTGGGAAACTACAAGAAGCTCTCTCGATCTCTCTCTCTCTCTCCCTCTCTCTCTCTCTCTCCTCTCCCCCTTTCCCTCTCCTCTCCCCTCTCCCCTCTCCCCCTCCCCCTCTCCCCCTCTCCCTCTCCCCCTCTCCCCCTCTCCTCCCTCTCCCCTCCCCCTCTCCCCTCTCCCCTCTCCCCCTCCCCCTCCCCTCCCCCTCTCCCCTCTCCCCCTCTCCCTCCCCCTCCCCTCTCCCCTCTCCCCCTCCCCCTCCCCTCCCCCTCTCCCCCTCTCCCCCTCCCCCTCTCCCCCCTCCCCTCCCCCTCTCCCCCTCTCCCCCTCTCCCCTCTCCCCTCTCCCTCTCCCCCAGTTACTAATGACAAGGCCAGGATGTTTTTACTTGTTTATAACTGTTTGGGGAGATGTTCTACATTTAGATGATAGTTGGGATTCACATTGCATTGTCCCTGAATTTTCAAATGATTTTCTTCATTATATCAAGACATTTAAATATCAAATAAAATCTGTCTAAAAGGGGGACTTGAGACTAGATAATTTAGATGTTTTTAAACTTGGAAAATACATCTAATCCTACATTTGTTAGCCTTAATATAAAAAGAAAAGCTAGTAGTGTCACAGCTTTCACTTTCTGACAAGAGAAAGCATACAGACTTGTTTTTCAGAAAATTAATTTTCCTGGAACTAAATTGAAGCAGGGATTTATATCTTAGATCTTTCTAGAAAGACATTGAATGGCCTTGTGAACAATATCTTCAACCACAGTTTTGCAGAATATACGGTTCAAACAAATGAATGTTATATTTATCTTTTATAAAAGCACTGCGTGTTGTTAAAATTATACTCAGTAATAATGTAATCATTATGATAATATAATAAGTAATAATAATATTGGGTCTTATTTGAAGGCCTGAGATAATAGAATACAAGCAACTTGAGTGAGGGGACTGAGTCTTAATTTTTTTTTCTATTTCCCCCATTGCCTTGTACTATAATGTTTGATGAATAAATGAGTGAATGAATGTACAAATGAAAGACTATTTCAAGTAAGTTGAATTGTACAAGGACAGAATTTGGAGAATTCAAGTACGAAGATAATTAACATGTACATTAGATTTGTCTCTTAATATTATGTCTCTTATAAGAGATTCGATCAGGGACTAATACTCATTCAACTATCAGAGCCTCTAAAAAGTGCCAAGGGTTCACAATTAAAATGAGAACTATGAGTTTCAATAAGACATTTATATGACCCTTTATATGCATTATTTCATTTGATCCTCAGATATCCTCTGAAGAAGATACTATAGTTAATATTAGTCCAATTTTGCAGATAAGGCTACTGAAGCTCAGAGAGATTAAGTAACCTACCAAAAATCACACAGGTAGTGTCAGATGCAAGGTTTGAACTCAGTGCTCCCCTGACTCTATATCTAACAATCTTTCCACTAAACCATACTGCCTCTCCTTTAGCTCCTAGATTAGAGATAGACGGAGCTTATTTCCTTTATGGAAGTTTAAGATCAGGGCTTAATCTTGCTAATATTGCAATATCCATCAATACAATTTGCCTTTTACCTAATGATCTTCAATGGTGGTTAAATGTAATGCTCATATACATACTTATCCAATTGTTTATTTTGAATTTGATATATTTGTGGCATGTTCAGAGGTGAAAATTGTTTTTGCAACCATATTTATAAATCCTGTTATTCTGCCTGTTGCTTTTATTAATATTGTTATAATTTCATCACTAAAGAAGATACTCATTCCTTGTGTATTTCTTCTTCATGCTTTAACTATATACTTTCTGCAGAACTTGTTTAATTTTGCTGGCATGGTATGATGCTAAAAACAGGATGTTCAGCATATGGCATTATGCACTTTCTTAGAGAAGGTATATTCCCTAAATTGTATCCAAATATCAGTCTGTCTTAGTGCCACCAGGATTTCAGTGGCTGTCTAGGCTTTCATTATATTTCTTTCTTCTGCCTCAATGTCCTTTTTGTGCAGCTTATACAAAAGTAAAATGCCTCCTATGTGATAACTTTTTACTTATGTCACTGGAGGAAATTGCATCAAGGTGATGAAATTTTTCTCTAGGGTGATTTTTTACCTTAAGCTTTTTTCTCTTTGGGGATAAATACAAAACCATATTTTGTGTTTCCATGTTCATTAAAGTTGTAACAGTTGAAGAGAAGGAAAGAAGTATGAAGCCCTACCCTTGATAGGAGGGTTATAAAGGAAACAAGATATTCCTCCCAGGTTAAACTCATCACCTCTAATCTTATCACTATGCTGCTAACTCAATCCTTGACTGACACCACCTCCTTCAGCTTCCTCTCTCCTCTGATTTGGAGGGTTGGGGGATGGGATACTAAACTCCTTTCAGTGGCTTCCTTTATAGAGGGCAGAAACTAGATCCTGCATCTGCTACTGTACTTGGTTTCAACTCCACCAAACAAGATGTCCCTCATACCAGGTGCCTTCTGGTCTCCCTGCTCCCCAGTCCCCTGCCTCTTTTTGTGTGTTGTCTTCCCCTATTAGATTGTGAACTCCTTGTGGAAGAAACTGTCTTTCTTTTTATAAATCATATCTCACGGGGCAGCTAGGTGGCACAGTAGATAGAGCACCAGCCCTGACGTCAGGAGGACCTGAGTTCAAATCTGGCCTCAGACCTAACACTTGAGACTAGCTGTGTGACCCTGGGCAAGTCACTTAGCCCCAATTGCCTATAAAAAACCAAAACAAAAATAAATCATATCTCCAGGGGTTAGTGCAGTGCCTGGAATGTCGTAAGCACTTAATAAATGTTCATTGAATATTGGATAGAAGTGTATAGTATTTTTAAGATCACTATAAAGAGAAATTTTGCAAGTGGCATTTTGATTTTCAACTTCAGCTCCATTTTATATAGGACTATATTTACCTTCTGTGTGTTCATCCCATTTTTAGACAAAGGAGTTTTGGGCTTCAGTTAGTGAATGCATTTTTTCCCCTCACTTACTCTAGAAGTTTTGCTTTGCCTGTATTCTGTATACTTCTGATGTAATCTCCAGGCTAGAAAGAGAGTTTAGATACTTAGCATGGGGAAGATTCTGCATGTGAGGTTAGATATGCTGTTCAAAAAAAAAAGTTGACCTCCTATCAAGGGAGCTGGTCATAAATTAGAAAAAAAAAAGGCATAGATGAGGCTGAAAGAATCTAGGATGAAATGAAATGAAAATAATAAGCACAATTTATAATGGCTAGGGTAGAAGTAAATTTTCCCTTATTGAGCTTTAAAACACACTCATAATGTAATTGTCTCTATAACCACAATGTTTGGCACAGAGTTCAATTGAACCATGATAAATACCACTTTGTATCATGATGGTAGTATAAACCTGGAAAGCCTGTGTCCTCAGAAGCCTTTGCTTTTGTGCAAGTATTATGATCATTAAAGAGGAAAATGTTTGAGAATTTAAAAATAAATCTTATTCATTTCACAGCTGTTTCTAGGATTTTCTTTTTTCTTTCTTTTTCTTTTTTTTTTTAATATCAGTTACACATGCATTTGATTTGAATATGGCAAAATGACTCCTTGGGATAAGCCATCTTTAATTGAAGTTTCCCTTTCCAGGAAGTCTGAGTAGTTTTACCCTCTGGATGAAGATTAGGCAGGGATTCATCTTTTTACTAAGAAACTAAATACTGAATTTAGAAAGAAAAATATTAGTATGGTATGCAGTGATCGTACAGTGCAGAGTCACAGATAATAAGGAAGATTTGGTTTAAAATGTCATTAAACTAAATTGTCTGGTTGAAATGCTTTAAAAGCAAATAGCTGACTTTACAGGGAACCCACCCACATATGAAAAACTTTAGTTAAAGCTATTATCAAGTAGTCTAGACATCAAGATTTTAATTCTTAAAAGAATTATAGACCTAACTCCATATGATCTAATATACTGTTGAATTTTTATAAAGTGGTAGAATGAGGGCCTTAGCAAGGGCCCCAAAGAGTAAGAAAATTCAGTTCACTTCAGCAAGAATGTCTCAAGTGCTTAATGTGTGCAAGTTACTGTACACTCTAGGAACACATTGGAGGGAAAAATAATTTTGTCAGGGCTTCAATATAAGAAATTGAGACTGGCCAGTTATTTTATTGTCTAAGACAGATTAAGTGTGAAACAGAAACAGTATAAATAATTAAAAAGTAATTAGAGTTCCAAGGTGTTTTCACTCAGCTATTTAATTTTCTATTAACATCAGGAGGGGAGTATTTATGAACCAAGTTTTATCTTGATAGCAACCTATTAATAAGATGTGTATGATACATTTACTGCCATGCTATATTTATATTTGGTGTGATAACAGCTTTTATTACATGTCATCCATTCAATTCAACAAAGATTTCTTAAGTACAAGGCAATATTTCGGCTGTGAGATGAAAAATGATGCAGTCTCTTCCCTCAAGAAACCTACAGTCTAATACAGGGAGCTGGGGGTAGGTGGGTAAGCAAGGCCTGGGGCGCTTTCAGGGAAATGACAGGTACATAATGAAATTTAATACAAAGTGCCATTGGGGCAAAATTAAGAGAGCTAGGCAAAATGATTTAAAAGAATTTGAGGAAGGAGATTTTATTTTCTTCCTTATAAAATGGAAGGTAAAATTACCCAGGAAAAAAATTTAAGTGTATGTTTGTGGGTATGTCACAGAAGGGTTTATGCACAGAATGTGTGATTCCTTGTCACAACTGTGTGGCTCTCCAAATATGAGCCATTTTGTGATACTTTGCTCTTTGTTCCTATGGACTTTTCTTTTTGGAACAAATTATATTCCCTTTGCTTTCCTATTTCCTGGCTTGTTTATATTTCCCTCTATTCTTCCTTGATGTTTTATATCCTTTTATCTCCTTCTCTTTGGCTGAATGAATAAGTTAGGTCACCCACTGGGCAGATTCTTTTCCAAAAATATAGATACCCTATTCAAAAAATACTTTCCTCAGGCATCAAATTAATGAGAATTTTAAGGCCTATAATACAAAAAAGAAAAAGATGGTATAGGAAATTGGAAATATGAATTAAGGATTTTTGTTTGCCTTAAGCTTAAGCACTTAAACAGTATATGCACAGTATATACCTTTGAAATAAATTGACTTAAACAATGAAAATAAAATGATGGCACATCAGAAAGACTCCTAGAAATTATTCTTTTCTTTTTTCTAAAGAAGGAACATTTTAGTATGTCTGTGAACTGTTCTTTTCATGGAAAAATGGTCAAGATTAAATTGGAAGCTGCGCTCAGCACTTGATCTCTCTCTAATATGTTGCTAATGAAAAGCATCTGAATAATAATGTAGAGGATTCTGGCCCTCCTCAGTTTCCTCATCTGTAAAATGGAGGTGACTAGATGAACTCCAAGGCCCCATTTAGCTTGTAAGTTATGATCTTTTGTCATTGTGAGGCTTACTCTAAAAATTTTTGTCAACAAAATGAGAATTATTTCATTCTGGAAGTTAGTACGCTGCACTGTGTCTTTTATAATTTTATATTTTTACCAAAAACTTAGACCGTATTCGTTGCTCAGTGTTAAGGTTTTTTCTTTTTTTATTATTATTATTATTGAAAAACTTGGAACATCCACAAATAATACAGTTGGGCTTGAGGGAATTAGGAAAAGTATCCAAACCAATTGAAAGCATATTTAAATCTTTATGCAGTGGGGAAAATGTGTACTTATTTGAGTCAGAAATTGACTTAATGGATAATATTGCTTATTCCTACACCCAAGTCAAACAAAGTTTTTGAAGAGTTTTAGACTTGCTGTTTTCAACTGAAATATTATTTTATGGCTGACATAGTATTCAAGGAGAAGGTTTAAACAAGACTATTGTACAGGACTCCTACCAAAGACATCACAATACAGTAGCAAGTGTGTTGGAGTTGGATTCAGGCAAATGGGCCTTGAATCCTGCCTCTGGTTTTTTCAAGCTTTGCATTCATGACAAGACCCTTGACCTGTCTGAGTCTCAGTTTAATCATCTGCAAAAAGTGAATAGTAGTACTTGTACTAACTCCCAACTTTCCAACATTTTGTGGGAAAAGTCCCTTGTGAACCTTTAAAAGCATAATATTCAATTTAATTTTAAAAAGCTTTAGTAATTACCTAGTTCCACACTGGCAAAGGTACTGGTGCCAGAAATAAAAATTAGTAAATAAAACTAGTCCCTACTTTCAAGGAGTTCCTCTATTACTAATGATAGTAGTGGTGATGGGGATACTGGGGAGGGTCTGTACAGAGTAAATAGAAAATATAGACCAGACAATCTAAGTTCTGGCAGTTAGGGACCATGCTAATAAATGGTGGGGGTAGAGGATAGATGGGGAAATGTGCAGGAAAGGCCTCTTGTAACAAGTAGAACTTGACTTAAGTCTGGACAGAAGCTAGGGATTCCATCATGGAGGACAACCTATGCAACAGCACAGAAAAAGAAGATGGAATGTTAGCAAACTGTAAATAGGTGAATTTGGCTAGATAGAACAGTGAGTACATGAGGGAAGAGTCCTGTGATACAAGATAGGTTGGAGTCAGGTTGTGAAAGGCTTTAAGTACTAAGCAAAGAAGTTTGTATTTTTAATCCTAGTGGCATTAGGGAGCCATTGGAGCTGTTGTGGAAAGGAGTTACATGGTGAGGTCTGTGCTTCAGGAATATTAATTTTGTAATTCTATAGATGATATGAGAGGTAAGAGTCTTAGGCTGGAGAAACCAATAGGAAGATATTACAGCTGTCCATGAAAGACTTAGCAAGAGTCAGGGCCAGGTTTGTGATCTTGAGTGAAAGGGATGGATGTGGAGAGATGCTATGGATGTAGAATTGAAAAGCCTTGGCAAGTAATTACATAAGGGGAAAAAGAAAAAGCAAAGACCTGGGGAAGACTCTGAGTTGACTGGAATGAGCTGAATCACTCAGTGTGAACCTGAGTAACTGAAAGTATGATGATGTTTCCAACAGGTATAGGGAAGTTAGGAATAAGGGAAGAAGGGGCAGCTAGGTGGTACAGTAGATAGAGAACCAGCCCTGGATTCAGGAAGACCTGAGTTCAAATCTCACCTCAGACACATAACACTCACTAGCTGTGTGAACCTGGGCAAGTCACTTAACCCCATTGCCTAGCCAAAAAAAGGGAAAAAAAAAGAAAGGAATAAGGGAAGATTTAAGGAGAATGTTATGTACTTGTTAAGCATGAGATGCCTATAGAGATCATGAGGGTGCAGATGTCCACTAGACATTTATTTTTGGTGTGACTAGAGTTCAGGAAAGAAGGGTTAAAGTCATCTGCGTGGATATTTGAATCCAGAGGAACTGTCACCAGCATTCCTGTGATCTACTTAATTAAATATAAATTAAATTATTAATTAGTTGTGTCCACTGAAGGTCTGTAATCTGTGAGGTAATCTATTTCTACTCATCTCTTGCATAATTAAATAGACAATAGCATTTAAAGCAATTCTAGCACATTTATATTTTAAGTATTTCAAAATTGCTTAGGGAATGGAAAAAGAAAGGATGTAACTAAGTTTGGCTTATTTTATAATGGATTACTCTGTTCCCTCAAAATTATAATTTATTGTAAGGTCAGCATAGGTATCTTTAGGTAACTTAATAGATATTATTTTGATCATTGAAGTAAAGTGCAAAGCTTATAACAGGATTTGGAAATATTTTCATATTTGCAGGTATGTCTTTAATATTAAGGTATAAACAGATGCTTCCAATTGTGCTTAAAGATGATAGCTCTTCTTTACTTTTTATCCTTTTATCCTTTTATCAACATTACATTGTAAACTCCTTTAGGGCAGGCATTGTCTTTTGCCTCTTTTTGTAGCCTGGTACTTAGAAGGCTCTTAACAAATGTTAATTGATTGACTATCTTCCTTAGTAACATTGCCTATGCCTTGAACCAATTGTAAGTTCCATAGAGGGAAGGACAAGTTTGTAGTATTTTTACCTTCTTCAGTATACCTGGAACAGTGCTGTGCACCCAGTGAGTAACTTATACCCTGTGATGGGTCTTGAATTCAGCTCTTACAGTAGATTTAGAAGTGCTTGAGAAACTTAAAGCTGTATAGAAGTAGAAGATATTATCACAAACATACATTGGAGAGTGATGATAGATTCTAGCCCCAGATCAACTTCTTCCCCAGCCCATCATCTTGGGCCTTATTTGAACCAGAGGAATTCTTAGTACTCTTTTAGCTCTAAGTAAATGTAATTCACTAAGAATAATAACAAATTACTCCTTCCATTCCTCTCCTTTCCTTTTTTCAGTACCAGGCCAGCCACTAAACTTCAAAGCAGAACCTGAGTCTGAAACCAGCATTTTGCTTTCGTGGACACCCCCACGCTCTGACACCATTGCTAGCTATGAGCTCGTTTACAATGATGGGGACCATGGAGAAGAGGTAAGTAATTGAGGACTTTTTTCATGAGTGTGTCCATGGACAAATACTTTGATATTTGATATTTTTTTTTAAAGTGACCTATTATGTCACGAGAATTGTAGGGTAAAATTATCTGTCCATCATGGAGCCTCTAGAGCCAGAGTTCTTACCCTTGATTGTATCATGGACCCCTTTGGAAGTCTGATGAAACCCATGGACCCCTTCTCAGAATTATATTTTAAATGCCTAACATAAAATACAAAGTATTAAAAAGGAAATCAATTATACTAAAATCCAGTTATCAAAATATTAAGGAAAATAGTTCACAGATGCCAGCTAAGAACCCCAGCATCAGAGAATCCCTGGTAGGTATAATGAATCTTTCAGGCTCCTTTGCAAAGTCTGCTTATTACACCTGTAGGGGCTGCTTGCATTGTGATTTAGGAGAAAGAGACTTGGATATGGGATTAAAAGACATGATTTAAGTCCCAATAATGCCACACATTAGCTTGTGATCTTTGTCAAGTCATCTACTATTTGGGGACCTCAGTTTCCTTATCTGTAAAATTAAAATGTTGAACTACATGATCCCTAGGTTCCCTTCTGAGCTCTAGACCAGGGGTTCTTAACTTTGTGTCTGTGAACTTCTTAAAAATATAATTTGTTAACTGTATTTTAATATAATTATTTTCTTTTGTAATACTATGTATTGCATTTTAATTAATGAAATATTAATATATTATTTAAATTAATATTTAATTAATTTGAATATAATATTCTGAGATAGGGTTCATAGACTTCACCAGACTGCAAAAGGGGTCTAAGATACAAAAATGGTTAATGACCCCTGCTCTAGAGCTCTAATATTCTTATTTATCTATTTCATTACTGCAATAACAGTAGAATTGCACGTATAGTGGGTAATTAATAAATACTTCCCAAGGTGCCTTGAATGAACTTTCATCTCTGTCAGCAAAAAGAGTTACCTCAGAGTCTAAAGTTGCTTAATTCATGAAATCAGTATATTTTACAAGAATGAAAAGCAAACTTCAGTTGATGAAGATATTTGTTCTCAGTCAAAGAATTATGTCCAGGACATTGGCAAAAAAAAAAAAAAGTGAAGATGGTGATTGACCTATAAGCCATACCATATAAAGAGAAACTGAATGATAACTGAAGATGTTGCACCTGTAGAGGAGAAGATACAGGGAAACAGGATACTGTTTTCTGTTATTTGGATAGTGTTTTCTGATATTTGGAGACTTTTCATATGGATTAGGGATTAGACACATGGTTGTGTAGGAGGTAGGCATAGAGGGTGGGAAGTCACAGAGAGGGATTTATATGGGGAATTTCAGAAGGAGATTTTGCTTCAGTGCGAGGAAAACTTCCTAACAATTAACATTTTGCAAAAATGCAATGGGCTGCATCAAGAAGTAATGGATATCTCACCATTGGACATTTCCAGAGACTGGACGACCATTGGTCAGGAAATGCTGTATAGAGTTTTCCTATTCAGGTCTAGCATGTACTAAATTTTGAATTCCCTTCTAAATCTAAGATTCTGGAATTCTGTGAGCTAAGCAACAGATTAACCAGCAGTGCCACTTATCTGAGATATGAAAGTTCAAGTGAATTCTCAAAGTTGTTTGGGGCAAGGCATAGGGGGAAGAATGGATTGAATAAGAATAAGAACAAGAAATCAAAGAACAAGGAATTGTGACAGAAATTTATAGGGTTTTGGAATTGTCAACAAAACTAGAAACTGAAATTAACAAGAGGAAAATTAAGAGGACTTCAGAATAAATTGAAGATTTGTGCTGAAGAAGGAGGAGCAGGAGAGGGAGAAAGAGAAGAATTTGAGATATGGAAAGAAGTTGATGAGACAAGTTAAGTAAGATCAGGTAAGATGAGATGATAAAAGATAAGAGATTAGTAAAACCAGGTCAAAGTGATAATAAGGTGAAAAGATGCTAATGATCTGAGAAGAGTGAATTGAAGATCATCAACAGCAGTTTATTATAGATTTCTGGGAGAGCTATTGGCAAAAAAAAAAAATTACAAAGAACTTGTATTTCCAAGAAGTATGGAAAGATCAAGAACTTTGAAATGACTTGAATAGAGTGTACACTGATTGTATTTTTACCAGACCTAAATGACTTCTACTGGAGCTCAGAATGAGGGCTGCTCCCTCCTGGAAGAGAAGACTAAGTGAGGGACTCAAGGAACTATCCTTACTTTCCAGGTTATTAGGGACAATGGAATGTTCCTTTAAAAAAAAAAACCGAAGAAAAGACCTTCACTGTGAAAACAGAGAGGAGAAAGCATCTGAAAGTCCCAGGATAATTCTGACCTGTGCCAGGGTGTTGGAAGTTAGAAGAATGTAAGGCGAGGGAGAAAGGAAGTGAACAGAATTCTGTTTAAAAAGAATGCCATGATTAGAAAAAGTATGACATCAATAATAACCCAACTTGAAAAAAAAATAAAAGGAATAAAGAAAAAAATTAATTCAACTCAACAATTATTGAGAACATATTCTTTGTTAAGGAAACATTTAATATTTCTTGGCTCAAAATAAAACGCTTTCATGTCTATATGTAAATTCTTACAATGACATACGTAACTCTAGAGTCTGACATGTAATTTGTATACCATCCTAGCAGTCAATCACACAGTTTTCAGGTATGGAAAACACCCAGAGCAGTTTTGAAGTTTTGAAGTTTTCATTTTCACAGACATATCTTAGCTCCTATAGAGGTCATCCATAGTCACTATATGGGCATCTGAAGACAGAACCGAGACCTGCTCCTTGCTTGCTAGGAGGTGATACATTTGTTATCTCCTATGGTTCAATTCATTTGAACAGACACTGATGCAATCTTTTCCTACCTATTTTGGTTATATAGGCCCTTGCCTTTCAAAGTTTTAGTATCATATTTCCAGTACCATCTTCTTTGTCATATATTTTGAGATTTTTGATGAGATTTAGCAGCCATGCTCTCAAGTAGCCACTGCCACAGGAAATGTGCTAAAACATATTTATTTGAATCTTAATGAAGGCATCCAAGTTCTGTTATTGCTTACCCACAGCAACGGATTACCATCGAGCCTTCAACATCTTACCGGCTGCAAGGGCTGAAACCAAACAGTTTATACTATTTCCGTCTTGCTGCCCGATCTCCTCAAGGCCTGGGTGCCTCCACGGCTGAAATCTCAGCCAGAACCATGCAGTCAAGTAGGTGTCTCTCTTTGTTTCTTTTTGTCTTTGTGCCAAAGTGATGGTCCTTGGAAAAGAAAACAACATGGTTAATGATAGTCTGCGGGCTAGAAAGGAGCTAACAAAATTAAATTAAAAGAACTATCTCTATTTGTTTCTGAGCTTTTTTAAGTGATAATGCACCACATTTTTCTATTTCCTAAATGAAAAGACTTCCAATGAAGTCAGTGCAAAAGCTTCGTGTTTTAGGCAATGTGTTAGAGGAGTCTAAGGGCCTTTTAACTTAAAGAATGGCTTTTAACTATTTGTAAAATCGTAACATTTAAAATGACTGAGTGACATGAAGAGCAAACTTGTGGGTATAATGAGCTAAGGCTCTAGCTTAAGAGAACATTTTTATAGTTATCAATTACACACAGAGTTTTAACTTTCTTAATCAATACGTATTTCACATGTATGTGAAGGAATTCAATTCCACTTTGTGATTAATTGTGCCTATGACACATATATTGGAATTTGAAACATTATCATAAAGTCTGTAATTGAATCACTGAATATCATCAGTATTTGATCTAGATTCATAATTCCTAATTTTTTCCTCAGGTGGAATTTGCTTTCATAGTTGTTTTTAAGATAGTGTCTCATTTAGAACTGTTATTCCAAAATCTATCAATCCTTCTATCTAGTTTTACAAGTCGGTTCAATATAATCAGTGCAAATGACATTTTCTCAGCAATGAAACAATTAAAATTAAAATTTCTTTCCTTTTAATTGCAAGAGGCTTCTGGGAAAGTCAACCCATCTGAAACATATTGGTGTCATTTTATATAGTTGTTTATATATTATCAACTAAGCAGCATATATGTATAATAAATAGGCTTTTCTCTAAATTTTATAAAGTGAATGCTGCTGACCTAATTCAAAGAGCCTCTTAGTAAAACTAGGATTTATATCATTTTAAAAGGTGGGTTTCTACCTAAGCAAGTCTTCCACCTTTCCATGCTTACTAGAAACATTTCAGGCCTTCTGAATGGAATCACTTGTATTTTCCACTCAAATCATAATCATATGAACAGTCTTGGAATAATGTTGCTTAACCCATTGAACATTATTCTGTTAAAACTATTTGCTCTTCCTTAAAACCAAAAAAAAAAATGAAAATAAAAGCTACTGCAGTGTCTGTGACTTAAATTTCAGTCACACTAATAAATACGGTAGAAGATAGTTTTTTTTTTTAATCATGTATCTAATTGAAGCCCCAGTATGACAGCTTTTTGTATTTGGAAATGTCTCATTTTACACAGTGAGGAATAATGAATGTTTTTTTAAGAAACATCAAACATCCTATGTTTGAAATGCTGCTGAAAATTTACTCATAAAAAAAAAACATAGAAAGTCCAGAAGTGATCATACAATGTGAAAAGTGTATTAAGTTTTTTTAAAGAATTAGAAACGAGGGGCAGCTGGGTGGCATAGTGGATAGAGCATGGGCCCTGGAGTCAGGAGGACCTCAGTTCAAATCCAGAGCCAGACACATAACACTTACTAGCTGTGTGACTCTGGGCAAGTCACTTAACCCCAATTGCCTCACAAAATAATAATAAGAAGAAGAAGAAGAAGAAGAAACGAATCCTGGCTCAACTATACAACTTAATTAGAGCCACATGGAAATTTAAAATTCACTAAAAAGATAATCCTAGAGAATCTATGGACTTTATTCCAAAATTCCCAGACTGAACTGTATTAACTGTACATGGAGTACCTCTCTTTGAGAATGCGTACAAACTCTTCTTAAGTTTCTAGGCTAAAAAGAAAAAAAATGATGAAGGATGAGATCTGTGTACTACTGTTTGTACTTTATAGGAAATTTCATATTAACAGCTATCCCACAAAACTTAGGACCATGAATGCATAATAAAGACCCAGAGAGTCAATCCAAGGGAAATCAGAGGCCTACACATTGACATGGTTAAAACCACTGGAAAGTCAAATGGCAACATCCTTTTATTTCCTTTATAACTAGTGGAATCTACTTATTCTTTACCCTTAGGGCAGGAATGCCACCTCTAACAACCTCTTCCTCAAGGATCTTAAAAAGTACATGCCTTCTTAACATAAGAAAATGGCAGACTCCAAGTGATGTTGTGATTTGACCTTTCTTTTTTTAAGTAGAGATGTTCTTTTTGAGTTTATTTGATGAAGTATATTTAAGTGTATGCTAATAGGTTTGTTTCTCATTGGGCAATGAGCAGATATATGATTTGGCTTCCCACTCCTCCCAAATCCCTATATCATATTTATAGTAATTGTTACTTCTTTGTTGCATATAGAAAATTTTGCAGGTAAGCCATGTTTTTTCAGGTGGTTTACTTTTTTTAAAAAATCATTTTAATTGTTGTTTTATTGAAATGTTGTAAGACATGTTAGGTTGATTATAAATGATTTTTACCAAAATTTGCTGGTGGGATCTTCTTCACTAGCAAAGGTGTCTCAAGAGGAGTTAAAAAAATAAATATGCATATATATAAAACTGAAAGCTGATATAGGGGTAAGTACAAGTTACAGTCAGAATCATGAAGCCTGTCATTTCCTGGGGTAGGTAAACCTTTGACTAAGCCTTTTCATCTTCTATTGATTCTGCATGTTTATTGTACACTGGCTACAATCAATGTTTGAATAAAAAATTTCATTTAAACATTATTTGTAGTTGATTCAATTCAGGCAGATTCAGTTGTTGAGAGAGTTCAGAGGTGGCCCTTTTTGTGTTTGTTTGAGCTTTTTTGTTTTCTTTTTCTTTTCTAGAGAGGATTGGCAGGAAGAAGTTATTTAGCAGTTATCGCAAGTTTCTTCAGTAAATTACAAAAACAAAAAAATAGAAAAAGAAAGAGAGCAAAGAAAAACAGTCTTTCCAAATTATATAAGTATAAAGCATGCATTTGGACTAAAAGGTCCAAAGTGTAATGAGGCTTCAAAACAATCTAACTTGCACTAACTGCAGCCATTTTAAGGAAAGATAGTCAACTTGAACTTGGGAGGGGAAAAAGTTGAGGATATTTTTAGAAGAAGAATTTAAATAACAGGTAGGTAACTCTATTTTAGGCTTTGTTATTGTGAGGCTCCATTCCCATATATTTCCCCCTCATCCATTTAAAAAATATTTCAGTTGATTTATTCATTTTCAGTTTGTTCATATTAATAAGCCAAGGTGCCTATGTTTTGTCTAAAATTTTCTTTTTTTTTTAAGTTTATGAGCTTTGTTTTCATTTGTTTGCCTTTGTGTTTTGGCTGTTTGTTTATTTCTGTTTTACTTTTTTTCTTTTGTTTATTATTTTCCCCCCAACCACCCCTGTCCTTTCACTCAAACGCTCCTTTTAATTCACTACCAAAAATAAGAGCCATCAGCTCCTCCTCAAGACATTAGTTGCACCAGCCCCAGCTCCACTAGCATTTTGGTAAGTTGGCAACCTCCACCAGTGGAAAAACAGAATGGCATTATCACTGAATACTCCATCAAGTATACAGCAATGGACGGAGAAGATGACAAACCTCATGAGATTGTGGGAATACCTTCAGACACTACCCAGTACCTTTTGGAACAGTTGGAAAAGTGGACTGAATACCGGATCTCTGTGACAGCCCACACTGATGTTGGACCTGGCCCTGAGAGCTTATCTGTATTGATTCGGACCGATGAAGATGGTATGTTGCCTTCGCTACATCAATTGCACTTTCCTGACATGCACTCAGTCTGCTGTCTTTGTATAGGCTAACAATATACTCCCTTTTTTTATCCTGCTCATCTTTTTTTTTTTTTAACAACATCGCTATTACTACAGTGTTTTTGTCCAAGACACGTCTTTTGCTACAGTTTGGTCATCTTTTATTTCAAAATACCAAGTAATTTTGCTTCTCCCCAAAGAGAACAATTTGCTACTACTTCTTGCAATCTAGCTCGTTTCTTGACTTTCTTTTCCAAATCTTCTGCATTTTTCTTGACTTTTTTTTATTTTTCTGAGATCACTTCTGTCTTGGTTCTAACTTTTCAAATATATCTTTTTACCTTCTTGTTGCTGGATACCATATGTGTGTTCATATGTAAAAATAAATATATATTTTGGCTTGCATCTTTTAGAGACACTGATGCTCCGCATTTTTTTGGTATGTGCTCTATGGAATGCCTTCAGTATGAGAAAAAAAATAAAAGAAGATGGGCCATATAAGCAAGCATCTTTTTTGTTCCACTATGAAAAAGAAACCTTTAGAAATATCCCACAACAACAAACAACCAGTTTTTATTATTATTTCAATATAATATCTCTTTGTACTTTAATGCTTTGAATTTCAAAGCATCCTCCTTGGCTTTTGTACATTTTTACATGTTTTTCTATTTCTCTGATACTCTTTTTTCTTCCATTTTTTTTGCATCAGTCATGTTTTTTGATCTTTTCTCTGAAAGGTAGAGCAGATTGGTTGAGCATTTTCATTGTTTGAAACCATTTGTATTCCTCAAAGAAAACTTAGTGGGTCTGCCCATTTTTTTTTCCTAAGTAAAGAAAGAGCTCTGACTGGGTGGGACAAGTGCCTATAATTTTCTTTTATCCAATGATGTTGTTCCAGTTCCTAGTGGTCCTCCTCGCAAAGTCGAGGTAGAGGCTGTCAACTCAACATCTGTTAAAGTGTCATGGCGCTCACCTGTGCCCAATAAACAGCATGGCCAGATACGAGGATACCAAGTGCATTATGTGAGGATGGAAAATGGTGAGCCCAAGGGTCAACCCATGCTGAAGGATGTCATGCTGGCTGATGCACAGGTAATCTAATATTAAAGATGTTTTTCTTCATTTAACTGGAGATGCAATCAGTAATTGAC